TCCTTAAAAAATAAACTCTGAACAAAAGGCCACGTCTTCTTAAACATTCATGGCACAGTCACGTGCCCTTTAAGTTTGCGTACTGCTGGCGGAAGAGTGTCCGCGGGAAGCAACCCTCGCGGGTAAGCTGGCCAACTCTTCAAAGCCTCACCTCTCTTCTCCATTGGCCCCAATCCCCCTCTTCCCTCCCCTCGCCCCTCCGCTCCGCGCCCGTCCCTGCCCTGCCCCTTCTCGTGACCCCCACGTGTTATCGGTCATTCATTCCTCGGCCCTTACATGCCCCTGCCCCGTCAAAACCACTCCGTTTTTGTGACCGCTGTTTAAAAACCACGTAGGGCACCTTCTGCTTAGGTGCTCTATCAATATGTAGTGACATAGCGCCAGCTGCTGCCCAGCAGCGTGAACTGCGGTGGACAGTTAGCGCACACGCCGTCGAGCATATACGCGGCTGTGCGCCGGCAGGGCGGAGGAACTGGGGCAAGGGTCACGGAAGACCTCATCGAGAAGCCCCTGGAACCCGCTAGCGGGTTCGAGAAGGGAGGCGTGGCCAGGGCGGAGCCAGGCCGCGCCGAGGAGAATAAAAGCAGCGGAGAGCGAGAGCTCGGGGCTGCCGGTTCTTGGAGTGGACTCGTCTCGCCGTCGCTGCCGTCTTCACCGCCTTCGTCGCTGCCGCCTTCACTCGATTATTGTTGCGCGGCCGGACAGTTGTTGGCTGTCTCGGTCGACGCGGTCGGTGTAACGCGGACAGGGTCATGTCTAGGCTGGGCTGCGCAGCAACGAGAAGGAAGGAGGCGAGCCTGTGTGAAACTGAAGAGTGTTAAAATAAAGAAGGTGCCCCCTGCAACTACCTCGTGTCCGACTTGTGCTACGCTACAAATATAAGAACTTAAAATAAGATGCTAGCCACAGAGCTCTTGAGCAGTTGTGTAGCGGTTAGCCCGCTGCGGTCTTAAAGTTACGTGTACAGTCATTCTAAACGGCTTTTTGTGTTAGTTTGTTGGCTACGTACGGTGGGAAAGAAGTTCGACATGCAGTCCATAAATACGGCAAGTCCTCGTTTAACGGGGTAGACGCATGCCTGAAAAGTGCCGCATTAAGCGAAAAACGCCCGTTAATTGAAAACAATTTTCCCGATGAATTTCTCACAATCACGACTACTCCTGCATGTGAAACCTGAAAGATAGGGAGTGCCATTGCCAGGCAATGTCAGTTAGGGCAAGTTAGGGGTTCGTGAACCCGTCTATGCGGACATTTGAGACCTATCCCCTCGTGTGCCCTGCTCGGTTTTCTTCCGGGCATGCCGATTTCCTCCCACATACACACTCACGCAGCCACAATCTCATTGCGTTAAAAGCAACTGGCTTCCACATCCGCTATGAAAGAGGAACCTCTGAACAACAACAACAACAATCAGTCTAAGCACGTTACTTTAGAGCCCATTGGCAATCCACTGCTGGATGAAATGCCTCCCCATGCATTGTCAGTCATGGGCGATTGTTTGTGACCCAGGGCCGAGTCACAATGATGTTAGCAGTGGCTGGGAATCGAACCCCGAACTCAGGTGCGCTCACCACTTGCGCCACCACTTTGCCCCTCTGAACAATCACTCCTTGTTAAGCAAAAGTTTTGGAACGTTTTTTTCTAAATATTTCGTTGCTTAAATGTCCCGCTTCTGGCTTATTTGTATTCAGATTGTAAATGTTGTGGATTTGCTCTCCAACACACCGGTGTTCTGTACAAGTAAGCAATTGGCATGCTCTGTTTACGTGACAAACCTTACTGATTGGCTGTGTCGGGTGGTTGCGAGTTTAACGACGCATTTATATTTACCCAATCTAACCCAAACAAACCTATATTATGGACTTGTTTGTATAATTATGCATTTCAGACTTTATTAATTGTCTCTATATTAATTGTATATATCTACATATATATGTCCGGAAGTCCATTTCCACACACTTGTGGTCCCAATATTTATGCCTCGTCTAGAATTAGACAACTGTGGTCGATATTTAACTAAACATTTCTTTATCGCGATTATGTTTTTTTTTATTTCTCTTATCTGTTATTGTTTATCATGAATGTGTTTTAGCGTGACTTGTTGCGTTTGTAGTAGAAGCGGCGGTGTTGTTTTTTTTGTTGATGAAACCCGATTTAAGAGCTTCTTGTCTCACAGGGCACTTCAAAATAAACTGAACTGAAGTTAACTGATTCGAGCCGCACTTTAAGTGCTTCCTGAGAATTTTGACTTCAGTCGCATTCCAGGTCACTCTTGCAAACCGAGACCAGATTCTGGTCTTTTGCATTCTCACTGGGCTTAAAAATAATATTTAAACTTGAAATTGACATCAGCAACAAGATATTCGAAGTCCCGTTCGGCACTTGGTCATGGAAATGGTATCCTCCGCTGAATTTAGATGTCACATTAAAACAGCAGTAGAAGGATGACGAAAGGACAGTAATTGCCTTCGCGATGAAATCCTTCCGGAGAATTCCTAACCTTTCTCACGGAGATCCGTGCGACGAACATGGAAGTCCTGGCAAGGACAGACACGGGCAGATATATTTTGTACAATGCTACCACAAGGTCGCGTCAGGCATGGGAAGCTGCGACCCAGTAAGCGTGGAACGTTGGTCCAACGTTGGGACGTTGGTCTGACGGTCCCAACCACAGGGCAACGTTGGTGCCCACTGATGGCTCGTCTACTGGGCGAAGACCCCGGGGCAGCCCCAGGACACGCTGCTGTTGGCGGGGCGATGTCGCTCGGCTGGCCTGGGAGCGCCTGGGAATTCCCCGGGAAGAGCTAGAGGCTGTGTATAGTCGTGTATAGTGTAGCGTGTAGTAGTGTATAGTGTAGTGTATAGTAGTGTATAGTGTAGTGTATTAGTAGTGTATAGTGTAGTGTATAGTAGTGTATAGTGTAGTGTATTAGTAGTGTATAGTGTAGTGTATAGTAATGTATAGTGTATTGTGTCGTAGTGCAGTGCATAGTAGTGTGTATTGTATAGTAGTGTATAATGTAGTGTATAGTGCAGTAGTGCATAGTAGTGTATAGTGTAGTCGTGTATAGTAGTGTATAGTAGTATAGTGTAGTGCTGGAGTCTGTCGCCAGGGAGGTGTGGACCGCCACTACTCAACACGCTGCCGCCGCGACCCTCCCCAGGGCAAGCTAATCGAGAAACGAACGAAGGAGCAAAGGGTGATGGCTGAACTGCTGCAGGGACGGTGATAGAGAGACCACTGGAAGGTGCTGGGGGAAGGGGAAGCCTATCATCTGATTCGTCATCGACCAGAAAACCCCGTCTCGACAGGGAATCAGAGTGCGTGCCAGAAAAAAACGCAAGTTTCAGTGTACAAACTCGTGTGAAAAAAATGTACTGAGCCTATGTGCATTGTGCAAAAACCATCAACAATTCCTGAAGAAGTGCCATTGCAGTCCTCTTGTCTTGAATGAATGTGGTCGCCACTAGTAGCTGCAGAGGGGATCATAATTCATGGACTCATTACAAACAACCTACTTCGCAGCGTAGGTTTTCACGGTTGCATTGGACAGCTCTCCAATGGATCCCCTCGATTTCCCATCGTATGCGTTAATGATGATCCTTCTCCGGGTACTCCAGTCCCCACTTGTACACACGGGTGACGACCTTCCTCCGGGGTATCCCTCCATGTTACGAGCGTTCGGTCTTCCGAAATGTCGCGTTGACGTGATCGGCAAATTTATGGGCGCTTTTCTAAGAACGAAATCGAATTTCCGAGTCAATGGAGTTTCACAAACGGCCACGCACCGCGACATCATTTGAAACGACAAGTCACCCAGGGGAGGCTGCGTTGACCAATCCGCGACAGCGTCGTCACGTGGTGTATCCCTGCAGCGCAAAGCAGCAACGCCTCCAACACCGCCTTGCCGGTCATTCCAACGTGCAGCGAATCTTTTTGTGAGTTCCCTGAAAAAAGTTTGACTGTTTTGTTTTAAATAAATTATTATTCAATATTTTTCATATGCATCTTCTTTTTCATGTAAAGTTTTTGTCTTTTGAAAATGTACAAAGATGTATAATTTTGTTTAGGTTCGGAGTAGAGTTGGGAATGACTGTTGGAAACACATCCCCATTTTTTTGGGTCATAACTTAATTGGGAAAAGCCGATTTATATAATTTCGTTTTACTCCTGGGGGGTTTAGTTGTTGTTGTTGTTGCTGAAGATCGCATCTCCCTTATCGTAAACCGAGGGATACCCGTACTCAGGTTTTCCCCCAGACCGAAACAAAAACACTGAACCAGTCTACGTCGGAGCCGAGTCAACGAGCGTCAAGAACCAGCGGGCACGAGCAGCAGCCGGCCGACGCCTCTCTACATCATTCCAGGGAGATTGGCGAGCCGTTCAATGCAGTTTGCCCCGAAGAAGCTCTCCTTCAAGCACGTGGAGCACGAAAAAAAAGAACGGATGTCGTACCGAACACCACACGAAGCGACGAGAAAATGCAGCGGAGAGAGAGCCACAACAGCGCGTGCCAGTCGAGGCACGTTCATTCTTCTTCACACTTGTGCGTCTATCGATGCACGCGTATCGTGACGTCGACGACCAATGTCGATCACGCCCGTAACTTTGAATACGTCAGTGTGGTGACGTCACAACGAGTGCTAGCGACGTGAGTGGCGTTTTCAACAGGAGCTTTAAAGTCGTCTTTATGAGTAAACGAAGCTTCAAACTAGCATGGGGCGGGTCCGGGACGTATGACCCAAGTGTGTAGCTACGGAGCTATTTGTCATTTGCGGTAACTTCTTCTTTAAAAGGATCTTCTTTGGTGTCACCACTTTCCTATGCCTCTCCGCTGGGAGGTGGGGGAGGGTCGTCGCTTGTGGGTGCCGTCTTCTTGCCTTCACGACTCGTGAACTCTTCACTTGTGCTGGCGAAAGTCACGTCCACCTTGGTGGCTTTGTCAATTTGCTCCCCCCTTCTACTCCTGCTGCTGTTCCTCCACCTCCTCCTATTCCTATTATGTTTCCTCCTTCACCTCCTGATCCTCTGTCTTCTCCTCCCTCTCCTTCTTCTGCTCCGCTTCCAGGTCCTCCTGTTGATTTCCCTCCACATATTTCACGAGCCGATTCTTCTGCATGACCACCTCCACCTCCTCCATCACCTTCTTTTTCACTACCACCTCCTCCTCTTTCTCCTCCCCCTCCTCCTCCTTGGCTACCACTTCCTCCATTTGATCCTCTGCTACCTCTTTCTCCTGCACCTCCTCCTTCCCTTCCTTCTCCTCTTCCTCCTCCTCCTCCGCCGCCACCACCTCCTCCTCTGCCACTTTCTCCTCTGCCACCACCTCCTTATTCTCCACCTTCTCTCCCTCGGCTCCCACCTCCTTCTTTTCCACTTTATTCTCCTCAGCCACGTCCTTCTCCACCACCTCTTTCTCCAGCATCTTACCTTCTACCTTATCCTTGTCCACCACCTCCGCTACCTCCTCCGCCACCACTTCCTCTGTCTCTGCCACTTTCTCCACTGCCACCATTTCCTCCTCGTTCTCTGCCTTCTCTTTCTCTGTAACCACCTCCTTATTTACCATATCCTCCTCTGTCACCTCCTTCTCCTCCATCTCCTCCACCTCCTTATTGGCTTCTTCCTCCTCCACTGCCATCACCTCCTGCTGCCCTGCCACTTTTTCCTCTGCCACCACCTCCTCCTCCCCCACCTTCTCCTCCTCTGCTACCACTTCCTCCTTCTCCACCTCCTCTGCCACTTCCTTCCCAACCTTTTCCACTACCTCCTCCTCCACATTCTTCTTCTCCTCCTCCTCCGCCACCCCCTTCTCCACCTTCTCCACCATCTTCTCCTCCTCCAAGTTCTCTTCCACCACCTCTGCTACCTTCTTTGCTACCTCCTCCTCTGCCACCTCCTTCTCCACCTCCTCCGCCATCTTCTCCTCCACCACCTTCTCCTCTTCCACCACCTCTGCTATCTTCTCCTTCATATCCTTCCCTACCTGCTCCTCCTCCTCCTCATTGTCAAACACTAACACGCCTACGATGTCTTCATTCGCGTTCATTTCCAAAAACTTTTCACTCATCAGCTCTAAATCGTCTACATTGGTCTCGCTAAATTTGAGCTCTTCCACAACCCGGGGGCCATCACCTTGAGCGCTGCCAGGGTCAAAATCAGTATCACCACCACCACCACCACTGCGAACAGAGATTTTGGCCGAGCAGAGATCCACGGACGTCATTGCACTCTGTGCTGCGTCGTTATGCCCGTGATGGACATCCACGCTGGTGGTGCTGACTCCCAACTGTGTCAGTGCAACGTTGACCTCCGTGACGATTGAGCTCGTGCCAGCGTTAGTCTTAGCATTGTCCAAACTCCGGTGACTCATGGTCGCCGTGATTTTGACCAGAGCCGAGCAACAGCGGGGTGGCTGGGCAACGATGGCGGGGTCGCAACCTTTATCTTTGGCCTCTTGCCTCAATGCGTCCAAAGTGACCTCTAATTGTGCATACGCTGTGTTCTTCTCCCTCACTGTCGTGACATCGCGGTCACCTTTCAGAGTCTCTGCCTTCGTCTTGTTTTCCTCCTCTTCTTCCTCATCTTCCTGGTCTTCTTTGTAAGAGTCTGTTCTAAGCGTTGTCTTGATCTCTACGGCATCTTCTTTGCATGCTCCCGGTTCTGTCGTCACTAATGCAGCCATCACTGTCTCTTTACTCGAGTTGGGCTCTGCCGCTTTGCCCTCTTTCAGTTCAATCGCAGCTTCTATTTTGGGTCGACGAGAAGGCAATCCTTCGGCGTGAAGATCAGAAGGAGACATCAACTCAACGCCCTGGGCCGACTCTGTCTGCTCCTCAATCACGGCCGTTGCTTTCGGGTCACAAAACTCGGCTTTCAATCTCATCAGCTGGACTTGCACCGCGGTGATTTTGGACGTCATGCCCGCGATGCTCTCTTGCATTTTCAAGAAGTTCTCTTTGTGGTGAGTAACACCACGTGAACTCACCATCATGGTCTTCATCGTCTCCTCATCGGACCCGTGGTGCCTCGAGATCTCCACCACATCGGGGATTTTGGCCACCTGCCCAGACGTCGCCAGCGTGTCCTCCATTCCACCTCTGCCCACGGTGTCAATCTTATCCGCGTGCAGCTGCATATTATCCAATTCTATCTTCATTTGGTGAAAGCTGCTTTGCATCTCATTAATATTTGCCTCAATTTCCTCCAACTCGTCGATCGCCGGTGCCTCACGGTCTGCAGCTGTCAGCATGGCTTCGTCCGATGGAGCGGCAGTTGTCTTGGATACACCATTGTCATCATTTTTGTCATCCGCGGCACCTTTATTCTCATCCTTTGTGCTTCCCTGATGTGACTTGGCCATAATGGTGTGTGAATTGCGGAGAGACATGTCACTCGTGGGTGTCAGGACAGCTTCATCCATCGCCGAAAACTGCTTGGTGGAAGATTTCCTCTTCGGTGGTAAATTCATCTTTATTTCAGTCACGTCGTCCTTCATGAGAGCGATCATGACAGGTATGCTGGTGAGAGCCTCTTGCAGTTTCAAGAAGTCCACCTGTTGAGTTCCAGCGGGCGTAAAACCGGCACTTGATTCGCAATCATCTGCAACTTCCTCGGCTGTGTCCGCATTTGATCTCGACCCTGAATCTTCTTCATATTGCATGTCTGTCGTGCTAAACCTCACACCGTCCGCTTGATGATCTGCAAGAAAACGAGAATTCTCTTCAACTTTAATCGCAACAGATTCTACCTTAGCTTTATACATCACCACTTCTGTACCCTGGGGCAGTTCAGCTTCTTGCTGCTCCTGCTGCACTTTGCGTTTAGTGTCATCAACTAAGGCGGAACTGTCCCCCTGAACTTCCACAAAACCTAAATTTTATTCAATTTCAATCACATCAAATTCTTCCTTAGCTGTCGCTATCGCCTTTGTAATGTCCATCACATGACGTTCTTCCTCATCCTTAGCTGTCGTCTGTTCTACTTTTACCACATCAGATTCTTCCTCTTCTTCAGCTATCATCTTTCAAACGTCCATCACATCAACTTCTACCTAATGTTTTACTATTGACTTAAAACATTTAATTACATCATATTTTTCATCTTTAGATGTCGTTTTTTCCACTTCTTCTCCATCAGATTCTTACTCTTCTCTAGCGATCATTTTTCCCACGTCCATTACATAAGATTATTCCTGATCTTTAACTATCATATTTTCGACATATTTGATTCTTCCTCATCTTTAGCTATTGTCTGTTCAACTTCAATCACATCAGATTCTTCATCTTTAGCTTTCATCTTTCCAACTTCTATTACATCACATTCTTCTCTATCTTTAGCTATCATCTTTTAAACTTCTATCACATCAGATTCTTCTCTCTCTCTCTCTCTTGAGCTGTCGTTTTTGCCACTTAAATCACATTACATACTTAATTGACTTTAGCTATCGTCTTTTCAACCTTAATCACATCAGATGTTTCCTTACCTGTTGTAGTCTTCTCTTCATCTTCTACCACATCCGCTTGTTTCTCGTCTTTATCTTTCGTCACTTTGGTATCTGGGGGCGGTTTGGTTTCCTGCTGCTGTTGCTGCTCTTCATGATGCTGCTGTTCGTTTACTATGTCACCGACAGAGCCACCACCATCCACCCAAACTTCCGCAGAAGCAGAATCTTCTTCAACTTCCAACACATCAGATTGTATTTCATCTTTAACTTTTGTCTGTTCAACTTGAATTACATCACATTCTTCATTTTTAGCTTTCTTCTTTCCAAATTCTATCACATCATATTCCTCCCCCTCTTTAGCTGTCGTCTTTCCAACTTTTACCCCATGAGAGTCTTCCTCATCTTTAGCTATCATATTTTCAACTGCAATCAAATCAGGTTCTTCCTCAGTTTTAGCTTCCATCTTTACAACTTCTACCCCATGATATTCTTCCTCATCTTTAGCTATTGCCATTTGAACTTTAATCACAATAGATTCTTTCTCATCTTTAGCTATTGTCTTTTCAACCTCTACCCCATCTAATTCTTCCTCATCTTTAGCTGTCATCTCTTCAACTTCAATAATATCGGATTCTCCCTCATCTTTAGTTATCATCTTTTCTACTTCTACTCCATCAGATTCTTCATATTTAGATATTTTCTTTGCAACTTTAATCACATCACATTCTTCCCTATCTTTAGCTATCGTGCTTTCATCTTTATTCACCTCCGATTCTTCCTTAGCTTTAGATATTGTATTTTCGACTTCAATCACATCAGATTGTTCCTCAGTTTTACCTCCCATCTTTTCAACTTCCATTCCATCAGATTCTTCTTCATCTTCAGCTGCCGTCTTTTCATCTTCAATCACAACATATTCTTTCTCAGCTTTAGACATCATCTTTATAACTTCTACCCCATCAGATTCTTTCTCATCTTTAGCTATCGTCTGTTCAAATTGACTCACATCACATTCTTCATCTTTAGCTTTCGTTTTTCCAACTTCTATCACAACGGATACTTTCCTCTCTTTAAGTGTCATCTTTTCAACTTCAACCCCATAAGATTCTCTCTCATCTTTAGTTATCGACTTTTCAACTGCAATCACATGAGATACTGCCTTAGCTTTAGCTGTCATCTTTTGATCTTTAATCACATCACTTTCTTCCTTAGCTATCGTCATTTCCTCTTTAATTACATCAGATTTTTCCTCAACTTTAGCTATTGTCTGTTCAACTTCTATCACATTAGACTCTTCCTCAGTTTTAGCTTCCATCTTTCCAACTCCTACCCCATGATATTCTTCCTCATCTTCAGCTATTGTCTTTTCAACTTTAATCACTTCACATGCTTCCTTCGCTTTAGCTATGTTCTTTTCAACTTTGATCACGTCAGATTCTTCTTCAGCTTTAGCTATCATCTTTTCGCCTTCTAACCCATCAGATTTTTCCGCAACTTTAGCTGTCATCTTTCCAACTTCCATCACATCAGATTCTACCTCATCTTTAGCTATCGTCTTTTCAACTTCCATCCATTCAAATTCTTCCTCCTCTTTAGCTATTGTCTGTTCAACTTTGATCACATCAGATTCTTTGTCAGCTTTAGATATCATATTTTCAACTTCCACCCAATCAGAATCTTCCTCATCTTTAGCTATTGCCTTTTCAACTTCAATCACATTACATTCTTCCTTATCTTCAGCTACCATCTTTTCAACTTCTACCCCATGAGATTCCTCCTTGTCTTTAGCTATCGTCTTTTCAAGCTTAATCATATTAGATTCTTCCTTACCTCTTGTAGTCTTCTGTTTATCTTCTACCACATCCAATTGTTTCTTGTCTACGTCAACTTCAGACACATCAGATTCTTCCTCACCTTCAGCTTTTGCCATTTCAACTTCAATCACATCAGATTCTTCCTGAGCTCTAGCTCTTGCCTGTTCAACTCCAATCGAATCATATTCTTCACCTTTAGCTATCGTCTTTTCAACTTTAATCGCATCATATTTTTCCTTTTCTGTTGCAATCTTCTTTTCAACTTCTACCACATCCCTTTGTTTCTCATCTTTAGCTTTCGTCAAAATGATATATTGGGGCGGTTCGTCTCCCTGCTGCTGTTGTCGATGTCCATGATGAGGCTGCTGCTGTTCGCTTCCTGTGTCACCAACAGAGACACCAGCATCTAGCCAAACTTCCGCAGAAGCAGAATCTTCTTTGACTTCAAACACGTCAGATGGTTTCCTACCTTTAGATGTCGTCTCGTCAATATCTTTAGGCGGTTCACTTTGCTGCTGTGGCTGCTGCTGCTGCACACTTTCCAAGTCACCAATTGAGGCAGCAACATCCACCTGAGCTTCTGCAGATTTCTCCTGGTTCTCATCTCCCGATGATACTTTGTTTGATACCATCTCTACTTGCCCCTCTGGTGGTGCAGCGGGTTGCTCTGGCATGATTTTCAGATGTGTGTCTTCTTCCAACTAGACACAAGACAACATCATTCATCACCATCATCATAGTGGTGAAAACTCCACCTCTCCCTCCTCCACAACCACTACCAAAATTAGATGTAGACAATCGATAGTTAAGAATGATGTATACGAGATGGAGATTTAGCGAGGGGTGATGGGTGGAATGGAGTTATCCACATTAAGCAGGCATCTTCGCTAACGAGTTCCCACTCCTCCCTCAACACTCACATTTTCCCTAGCTCATACCACGACCCCTTAATCTCCCCCTTCTAACCACTACCATTCCTGTTCCTTCTTCATAATCTTTCTCCATGGCTACCACTCATTCTCCATCCATCCAATACATTCATCATCATTTGCTCTCGTCAATTTCATGCATCACTGGCTCGCCCATTACTTTCTCGCATCTATTCTAATCACCTCATCTTCACTGTTATATTCATACGTTCCTTTGTTATTTCTCTGCAAAGCGCCTTGGTTAAGGCGATATAGAAATTACAATAAGGTAAGCGCTCCTAAATAAAGTAAAACAATTGTTACGTAAGATATCCCCACGTAGCAGAAGCCTCTTGCACAAGAGCCCGGAGATTTGACGAGGCTTCCGTGGAGAAACAGCACATTAATCACATCACTGCAATGCGTGTCATGTTGCTGAGTGAATTCTCACCGTAGCATATTCGCCTTCAGATGGCTCAGTCTTCTGAGTTGCATCGGCAGTGCCGCGCATCTCACCAGTGTCGCGGTCTTCCGCTGACGCTGTCCAAAGCGGAGTCTTCTGCATGACCGCTGCTATCTCCTCTTCCACTAGACGAGTTTGTTCAGGGCTCGGTGGGCGCTCCAGAACCCGATCCCCTGATCGAGTCGAAACCAGAGCTCCGTCGGCCAGGTTTTTAGATGTCTCGCTTGAGTTTGTGTCCAGAGAAGTGCAGGTCGCCAATTCTGAGTCTTCATAGGTGAGATCTGAATCGTCAAAGGTGGTCGCCGGTTTGATCTGCTCCAGAACTTCAACGTCAGGAAGAACAGCAGCAATTATCTCAATTATTTGTTTTGGTTCGATGCCGACATCAGAAATGTCGCTGCTGTAGGTTGGCTTCAAAGTTTCTTTCAAGGTTTCGTCCATAAATGACTCTTGCCCTACGTTCACTTCCTTCACAGCACTAACGACTCCCGTGTCTTTTTCATCATCATTATCATCATCCTCTACAGCAACCACTGGATCTTTGTTGATGGGGGACGTAACAAAAGGTTCTTCTTGTACCCCATGGGGCAACTTCTTAGTCCCGACATCGGCTTTGGAGCCATTGATAATTTTCATGTTAGAATTCACCGATTTGTTTGCAAGAGACCCGACTTCGGATTTGGCTAATGCGTGAGCCAATTCGTCCGTGCATAAAAATGGCGCAGGAGCAACACCCGTTGATCCGTCAGGGACTATTTCAAGAGTCAGAACGGGATCCGGTGACTTGGCGAATTCTGCCGTACGTTTGCGATTGGATCTTTCCTCTGGAGTCATTCTGGATGAATCCACCTTTGCTTTGGAAACGCCTGTTTGAGTGTCAGTCCCGCTGGAATCACCTGGGATCACGACGGCTGCATCTTCTGCCAGTACGAGTTCTTCCACTTTCATCGTTGGCGCTTGAACTCCGACCCGATTTCCTTGTGTGATCGGAGCATAAGTTCCTGTCGCAATTGCTGCCGTCAAATGTGCCTCAACCATGACCGCTTGCTCGGAAACACTTTTTATTGCCTTCTTCAAGCCCAATAAATTGTACTGCGTGCGGAGCATTTCCAGCTGGATTTTCGAATGCATGCTCACAATGCTCTCTTCCAATTTCACGACTTCTGTCTCAGCGATGCTCATCTTCCTTTTGCGCACTGGATGATCGGGTTCCATTGTCTCGTCTCGTGCATCTGCAGACTGTGACCATCCCACATCTGACAATTCATCTGTGTGTGGAGGTCGAGGGTCTTCAGAAGATGACTTTCTCTTCACTTCAACGTCATCTTTTGGCTGTGTCTCATCCTCCACTCGTGTCTCATCTTCTTGCAGAAACTTATGGTCAGTTACATCTTCTCGCTGAACAGATATCTCTTTTTTCACTTGCACATCTGTGATGTGTATCTCATCTTCCACTTGCGTCGCATCTTCTATCAGAGTCTGAACTTCATTTGGATCTTCTCGCTGGACAGAGATGTCTTCTTTTACTTGAATATCTGTGATGTGTTTCTCATCTTCCACTTGTGTCACATCTTCTATCAGAGACTGAACTGCAGTTGCATCTTCTTGCCGAACAAAAAACTCTTCTGTCATACGAACACTGTCTGCTTGGCATGCCTCAATACTTCCTTGCGATCTGTCAACGATTGTTTCAAGAGTGTTTATTGATAACAGATCCATGTAGGCCTGCATTTCTGCTATTTTAATTATCATCATGGCCATCATTTGTATAATATTCGTCTCCTCCAGTTTAGCTTTGTTCAGAACATTGAATTGTTCTGGTCCTGATCCTGATTCCTTGTTACTGCCTTCGTTCATGGGTTCCACCACTGTGACTGTGGCTCTAAGAATCATGTTGCACAGGGTGGCTTCTTCATCTCCAACACTGGCTTCTGATTCTCCTGCTGCTGCTGCTGCTGCTGCTCGTTCTCCATCAGGTGTTTCATCTGACGGTGGTGGCTGTTGTTGTTGTTGTTGTTGTTGTTCAATGTCATGCTCCTTTTCCTCTGGTTTCTGTTGCGCTTCGAATCCCTGAATGAACAACAACAACCACAAAGTGAGAGAAACGGTTTAAAAGCCACGCCCCCCACCACCCCCCCTGGTGAAGGGTACACCGTGTGATTGACGCTTTGGAGGCAAGGGTTTGGTGGATCAAATTAAGGATATTACGAAACTCCAAACTCACCGGGCCACGAAGAGTTATTAAAGCCTTCGTGACTGCATAAAATTACTAATTGTTTTTTTCGGTAAAGTCACGTATGTAGAAATACAATAACTTTGCCGAAAAAACTAATGAGCAATTTTCTGCAGTCACGAAAGCTTGAATACTTTATTATCACACTTCTACGGGGAAGTTACCGTTGTAATTATGTGTAAGATGTGTCCCTTTTTTGAGCTGCCGTTTTGTATTTACAAGAGGTGGTATTTTTTTGAGCTGCCGTTTTGTGTTTACAAGAGGTGGTACTTTTTTGAGCTGCCGTTTTGTATGTGTAAGATGTCCGTGTTTGATCTGCCGCTCTCGCTCTGGCCCCTCCCCCCCTCCAACCGTATTTCCTATTTAAGCTTCTGTTCATCCCTCCGGCCCCCCCCCCCCCCCCTCTCTGCCTCCCTGTCCGTCTTTCCTCCCTCCTTAGCTCTTGGTGGACTTGTATATGTATTTCTACTGACCGTGTACCTCGTATTTTTCATTCTATCTATGCTGGTACGTGCAATCCAAAGGTTGAACACGAAATTTAACACTTTTCTGAAATTCGTGGTCCGCCACATAATGTTTTTTCAGGTTTTGTTGAATTCTCGTCTCTCATCTTTTTGTTATATTTACCTCCGTGATTTGTTCTTGACACCTGATGAAGATCGCTTGCGTTGTGTTCGAAACGTCGTGATTGTTTTTTTGTTTTAATATAATTATATCGTATTTCTACATACGTGACTTTACCGAAAAAAAAACCAATGAGTAGCCACGAAGAGTTGTTTGCAACACATCCTGCGTATTGGAAACAAAAGGTTGCAGCTCGCTCTCGCAATGACCCACAGGGTGAGACTTTTCTGAAAGGAAGAATTGGGAACACCTGGAGGGGGGGGGGGGGGGGCTCTGTTACAGGGGGTTCACTCTCGATCTGATCTTTCTCTACATAGTGTGAATTTAGCCAGACACCCCCTTTTCATTTTCCCCTGTTCTCTTCATCTCCTTCTTTCGTTTCTCTATCCTCCTGACTCTGCCCTCACCCTCGCCCATCGTTAGCCCTCTTACATTCCTAAATCATGGATGGGGGCATGTAGGGGGATTGTGCCTGGGGGCTGTGAGGTTCTTGGACCTTTCTGTGCGAAGCTTGCTTTGAGCAAGCCATCTTCCCGTAAGGTAGACAAAACACTCGCCAATGACATTTCGCCAAACGTGTGGAAGTTCCTGAGGCTTTTTCCTGTTGCAAATGTAGGGAAATTAGCATCCACATCAAAGAAGAGCTCACCTCAGCAGCGACTGCTCCCGGTTCCGGTGATTTACGTGTTTTTTTTCCTCCAGGGATGACGTCATCCTCCGGCAATGCCACCTCCTCGTCATCGAGGGACGCCGCCTTCAACAACATTTGGGGCTCCTCTGCGACCGCGTCGATGGTGTCTTCTGCCTGAGCGACAGTCAACTCTTCGACGACTGAGACGTCTGCACCGAGCGAGCGATTCTCCCCGTTGACATCATCGTCTGGTGGTGCTTGTGTCTCATCGGTGCCTTCCATCGCCCCCTCCGGGTCATCTTTCTCCAGCTCTTCATGCGTTACATCAAAAACCGCGTCAGCTGTGGCTTCCGCTTCTCCACTCAACTCATCTGCCTCGTTCTGAAGGGCAGCATCCTGGGATGATGATGATGATGATGGAGGAGGAGGAAGAGCAGGAGGTGCAATGAGCATGACAGGACAAAGATCAGGATCGGGATGAAGTTCGAGGTCGGCCGAGATGACATCGGCGATTGTGACATTGGCTCCATCTTGGGAGAGGTTGTCGTAGCTGATCACTGTCGTCTGAATTGTGGTCATGTTGAGCTTAATCTCGGCTAGCGTTTCCCGGATTTTGGTAACCATGTCCCGGAAGTTGATGTCGCCTATAGTGTATGCTGCGGCCTCCATCGGCAACGGGATCATATCGATCGACTGGACACTCCTCCCTTCTACCGCCTCCTCCTCCTGCTCCTCCTGCTCCTCCTCGCATTCCACCACCGAGGAAGCCTCAAGTTCTGGCTCCGGATCCAGGATGGATCCCGGGACGGTCATCGTCGTGAACAAGCAGTCTAAGCTATCCTGCGTCCTGTTAATCTTCGACTCGAGATTGGCGAATCTCTCTCGAAGAGAGTCCACAAGTGCCTTGCGTTCGTCTAATGCAGCCAGCTCGGCGGGTTGTAGAAGGGCCTCAAAGACATCTCGCTGATGCTGCTGCTGGTGAAGAAGAGGTTTTTGCTCCTCTTGGACTGCAACGGGTTCGGAGATGGTAGCCGGGTCTTCAACATGGGATTTGACCAGAGGTTGCGCTGGAGTTGTGTCGGGACTGACGGTTGCATCAGCTGTGATGTCCAGCTGCTGCTCTTGTTGTTGCTGCTGCTGCTGTTGTTCATCTTTGCTCCGCTCCTGTTGGCCGTTGGACACATGCACAAGCAGCGACGCAGTGAACGGAATGAGGGGACACAGCGGCAGCAAGAATCACCCAACAACCAACATCACCGCCACCATCACCCCAACTTTAGCCAGTCTCCACGTCTATCAATACCTTCATTTCCAACAGCATCAACCATCACAACCTCCAACACTACTCTCTGCACTACCACCATCACCGCCATCACAACCTCCAACACTACTCTCTGCACCACCATCACCGCCATCACAACCTCCAACACTACTCTCTGCACCAACACCACAACCATCACAACCTCCAACACTACTCTCTGTACCACCACCACAACCATCAAACCTCCAACACTACTCTCTGCACCACCACCACCATCACAACCTCCAACACTACTCTCTGCATCACCACCACCATCACAACCTCCAACACTAGCCCCCCACCACCCTGAGGAGGGCCGTCAAGGCCAGCAAGGCCTTCTCTGCTGGCCTCGAGATTGTCAGAATCAGAAAATATTATTTTTATATATATTTCCATTATTGCTATATGTTTTCTACAAAGTTCATTCCTATCAGTCTATTAACGTCATTTCATTGCTACTCTCTCCCTCAGTTGTGCTGCTTCCAGTACAGCTCATATAAATTAGAGCTTTTATCCAATCAGATTTTCCACCTGTGACGTCTCCGCCTCTCCAGGTGAAAAATCTACCCTGAGGCCTTCAGAATGTCGAGTGAACCCCCTCTGCTGTTGAAGCAAATGGGGACGATGTTGTTGCCATCTTATTTGACCAATGAGATGTCGAGTTTGCCATGGTGGGCGTATTCTTTAACACGCCGGAGCCTTCTCGCTGGCCTAGCCACCTACGTCAGCATTGTTCATGTGGCGTGATCGGAGGACCAGTTAGCTAACTGAAGTAAAACTAGCTAGCACGTAACGTAGCATCATCTAAGATTTATTTAAACTTTCTTTCGTGATGTTTAGTTTTTTAGATGTAGTGCTTTAGATTTTGTTTTATTTTCTGTGGGGAAGCTTGTTGAATCCTGATTGTGTTATTTGTGTTTTACGGCATTTTTGCTTGCTTGGTGGTCGTATGAGTAAATGCGACTGGTTGTTGTAACCTCCAACCTCCAACACTACTCTCTGCACCACCACCATCACCATCACAACCTCCAACACTACTCTCTGCACCACCACCATCACAACCTCCAATACTACTCTCCACCACCATCACAACTTCCAGCACTACTCTCTGCATCACCAACACCACCATCACAACCTCCAATACTACTCTCCACCACCATCACAACCTCCAGCACAACTCTCCACCACCATCACAACCTCCAGCACTACTCTCTGCACCACCAACACCACCATCATAACTTCCAACACTACTCTCTGCATCACCACCATCACAACCTCCAGCACTACTCTCTCTGCACCACCATCACCACCATCACAACCTCCAGCACTACTCTCACTGCACCACCACCACCATCACAACCTCCAACACTACTCTCCACCACCATCACCACAGCAACTAACCCACCATTATCTCCACCATAAATACTAGCGCCACCTCCACACAACATCACAACAATCACCACCTCTACGTCCACCACTGCCATCTCCATCACCACCACCACGACCATCACCACCACCACAACCATTGCCACCATTATGAAAAAAAACAAAGATCCCCCGTATAGTTTTGACCAACTTTTGGAGAAATTGCTGTTAGCGGGCACCTATGAAGGCCAGCACCACACCAGGCCGCCCTTGTCTCCATCGTGTCGAGGCTTACACACTGCACCAGGTACTCATTCGACCCCGACTCGACCTCGGGGAGGCCTAGTTCCGGTGCAAACAATCGTCAGTGGTGTTGGTGGCCGTGAGACGGAATCGAACTCGCGTCGCCGGGTTCGACGCGCTAACCACTGCGCCACAGCTCCCCAAAACCATAAACACCCCCCACCAACACCACCATGAACACCACTCTACTCCTACCGGCCTCAACCGACGCCAGCTACAATCCACAGCCCATGGCGATCCTGCTACTGCTGCTGCTGGACCCGTGCAAAGCGATACGGTCGGAGGAATTTCCTGGCCGATCCTTGAATTCTGAGCCAGTTTTTGAAAGAGCCTTACAAACAATGCGTGCTTTTCCTCGAGCATTCGTGATGGACTGGACTTGACAGGAGTGTGCGATGGCAAACGTTCAGACTTACGACGGCCACCGCTATCAGCACCGAAGATAAAGATCCCCCCCACCCCTGTATAGCCTTAAAAGACTTTTGGGGAAAGTGATGTTACCGAGCAGCACTTATGAAAGCCGGCACGGCACACGAGGGGGGAATGTTTTTAAACATTTCGTTTTTTCGCCAAGGACCACGTAAGATTGCATTGGGGGAAATTCTAAGGCGACCCAATCATTGTGACGTTAACAGTGTCAGGTCTGCACGTCACAGAAGGCAGACCCAACTATTGGCTACCAGGTCGAGACGCCAACATTCATAGACCAACACACATTGCATCATCGTCGTCATCATCATGATCATGATGACCATCGGTCACTGACAGTCACGCATTTTCACATGCGCTTCTGCGGCCGTCTGGAACACTCTTCCTTCCGATGCTAGGAAGCCACTCGGGCTTTGCACGCATTCCTTGAGGACTGCTTTTTGTCTTCTTTGGTTCTTTCGGTAAAGTCACGAAGAATGAGAATAAAATAATAAAATAACACAATAAAATTCTCACGACGTTTCGGCCACAACGCAAGCGGCCGTCTTCAAGTGAAAGGTACAGAACTGTCGGGACGACAGAGCTTCAAATCGAAATTTGACTGCTTTTTGTGCTAAGTTTGTTGTCCTTCCCCCACACCTCCGATTAGCGCGGTTGGCTATCGTACGGTGCGAAAGAAGTTCAACGTACACACGTGCGTACGTACACCCAACACAGTCGATTTGTGACGCGGCCAATGTATTTCTGCTTCAGCAGCCACCACCAGTAATGGTGGAGAGCGATCCGCACACGTAGAGCGGATAGATACGACGTTTCGCCGGTGGGTTACAACCAGCGCGACGATGTTATATTACATTGGCTGTGTCTGGCGGAGGAGGGCTTTACAACGTGGATCTTAACTTACGAGATCGGATCCCAAAAAAATAACAAATCGATTTGGAAATCAACATAATGCACATAGCAGGGCCGTATATGAATACACGGGCCTCGCGTGGATGTGTCAACACAACACACACACACACACGCGCGCGCACTCATAACATTGAGTGCAGCGTACGTGTCAACACGTTAGTTACATATGAACCACGCGTTAGTGCGACATTGTGGGTTAGGATGGAGCGGGCGTGTCGCCGCGTGCGTGTGAAAGCACGTGGCCGGGTGAGGCAAGCCATGAGTCGCACTTTTTAGACTCCAGCCACGCCGGTCCAAGTTCCAGGTTTTTTTTATTTGAGCTCGCAACTTTATTGCCGACGGTCATGCAACGCGCAGGCAGACAACACAAGCGTGGCGTGTTACACGTGCGTGACGATGGAAGGCGGTCAGACAACAACAGCAGCAACGACAGACATTTATATTGCGCGCCCGTAACGTAACAAATGTCTCGGGAGCGTGGCTGATTTATTTTAAACCTAGGGGAGCCATTCCCCCAGCGTCTCGCACGCGGCTTCGTGCGGCCGCTTGGAAATCCGCGCGCGGCCATTTTGAGTCGGCGCGCCCTCGTGTTGCTGGCGTTGCAAGTCTCCTCTCCCGCGGCGGCTTCCGAACTCCCGGACGATGCCCTCGAGAAAGTCAGCGTGTGGCAAAAAGATAAAAGAAAAAAAGAAAAAAAATGGGCTCGGCAGAGGAAATCGCTTCCTTGGATTCTCCCGAGTGGGTGCTTGCGCTGTAACAGGATAACATGAATTTGCGACAGAATTACTGATAAATCATGCTTTAGGCCAATATATGGAGTGATTGGGCGTGGCTTTGCTCATATAAGGCATAATGGAACGGGATACCATGCTTGATCCATGCTTGATCCATGCTCGAACACAAATAGAATTTGTTTTTTTTTATCGTTAAAGTGATTCCTGTCAGATTTATGGATCTAACGAGACGATTTGTGGATCGAAAAAGGCCATATTAGCCCGCCCCTTGACGCTCAATGGCTTCCTTCCACAATAACACAATGCATCATTAATTCTATCGTGGATGCATTTAATCCTGTTACAGCAATATGGTGGCATCGCCTCTTCCCCGGCTTTCGCCACGCACCGCCACCCGACGAGCACCTGCACAGCGGGTTGGAGGACACTCTGCGACGGCGCTTTCCGATGGAACGGATGGATTGGATGGACAACGGAATGGAGTTTGTCGGACACAGAGACGGCAAAGTTGGCGGGCAACGGTGACGGTAAAAGCGCACGCGTTACACACGGCAAGCGTGGAAGGACACAAGACGCACAGATCTCCTTGTCCGTTAAACGCGAGCGAGCGAGCGATCCGATTGGGAATCAAACTCGGCTTCGCCAAATTCCGAGGCCAAGCCACACACCGAACGACTAAGCAATGTGCGAAATACGATTACAATTTCGGTACGCTCTGGAGTTTCGGCTCGATTTGGTAGAGTGGATTGGGAATGGTGAATTCAGTGTGGTTGGGCACGTATACAATTAGACATATATACCGTTTTTCCACTGGCACATCCGACCCGAGCCAGCACGGGTTCCTTAACAATGTGGGTAATTTCCACTGGCTATAATGCCGAGCTGAGCCAGAACCAAACTGCGGTACGCTGGCCTCACAAGAAGGCAATCCGAATCTGGTTCGGGGCCAAGCAGGGCCAGGGTACGGGCTACTGACGTGTTCATTGCATGTGATGTCATTCAGTATGCCGTGTGATGTCATTCAGTATGCCGTGTGATGTCATTCAGTATGCCGTGTGATGTCATTCAGTATGCCGCGAGGACATGAATGATGCATGCCGATTTGGGTAAGAAGATAACAACGATGACAAATAATCCGTCCCTACAGCCTTGCGGACATCTTGACTCCATTGCATAGAAATGGTGGCTTGTTATTTTCGAGCAACATTTAATAAATAAGCGCGATAATTCCCTCTCAATTGGCTAAGCCCCAGAACCAACAAAAGGCCCACATGATTTATAACCCTGATTTGCACTTGATATCGCAAAGTCACGCGACATCGCCAAAGCGCAAGATATGCCAAGTCACATGATATGCCAAGTCACATGATATGCCAAGTCACAAGATAACACCAAGTCATAATAAGCGGCTATATTTATGTCGATCCATTTGTCACACCGTACTTCTACGCTCCCGTGGATACCCTCCCAACCTTCGCTCCCCGCGCCCCCCCCCACCCCCCTACACTGACCAGCGTGGTGAAGTATGGTCAAACAACGCCCGTGACCGAAATGACATGGGGGAGGCCCTAATGTCTGGCGGTAAACTGACATCGGTGGCAGCGATACTCTGGCAAGAGGTTCGCTCTGCAGAGTCGTCGTGCGGGAAACCGAGCCCCCCCCCACTGCCCCCCCCCTCACCCCCTTATCGTGCGCTCTGCCACACTCTCAGGGTCGTCGAGACGTCGCCGTGGCCTAGAACCACCGATGGCACCGCCACCGCCACCGCCGTCGCCGCTCCTCGTGGTAAAAGCAGCGACCTCCACGGCCTGACCCCAGCAGTCGCCCGGCGCGTGGTCTTAGACTCACTCGGAGAGCCACAGACTCACTCGGAGAGCCACAGACTCACTCGGAGAGCCAAGGACTCACTTGGAGAGCCACAGACTCACTCAGACTCACTCAGAGAGCCACAGACTCACTCGGAGAGCCACAGACTCACTCAGAGAGCCACAGACTCACTCAGAGAGCCAAGGACTCACTTGGAGAGCCACAGACTCACTCAGAGAGCCACAGACTCACTCAGAGAGCCACAGACTCACTCAGAGAGCCACAGACTCACTCAGAGAGCCACAGACTCACTCAGACTCACTCAGAGAGCCACAGACTCACTTGGAGAGCCACAGACTCACTCAGAGAGCCACAGACTCACTCGGAGAGCCACAGCCTCACTCAGAGAGCCAAGGACTCACTTGGAGAGCCACAGACTCACTCAGAGAGCTACAGACTCACCCCCTAGAGCCACAGACTCACTCAGAGAGCCACAGACTCACTCAGAGAGCCACAGACAAACTCGGAGAGCCACAGACTCACTCAGAGAGCCACAGACTCACCCAGAGAGCCACAGACTCACTTAGAGAGCCACAGACTCACTCAGAGAGCCACAGACAAACTCGGAGAGCCACAGACTCACTCAGAGAGCCACAGAGTCACTCAGAGAGCTACAGACTCACACAGACTTACTCAGAGAGCCACAAACTCACTCAGAGAGCCACAGACTCACACAGAGACCCACAGACTCGCACAGAGACCCACAGACTCACAAAAGAGACCCACAGACTCGCACAGAGACCCACAGACTCACACACAGACCCACAGACTCACACACAGACCCACAGACTCACACAGAGACCCACAGACTCACACAGAGACCCATAGATCTGCCCTGACAGTCTCTCAACGTCCACTCTGATGTTTCCTCTTCTCCGTGGCCACCGGATTCGTGGAGACCGCTCCCAATGCCGGTCTTCGTAACTGGCCTTCACCCAAGTTGATATGTTTTTAAAAGACTAGACGATTGATGCTCAGATGTGATTCCCAAAAAATTCAAGCCCTATGATGATATCATTAAAAATCAGCTGTAAGTCCCAACGCAACATGTATGGACTGTGTGTGTGTGTGAACGCACAGCATGTACGGACTGTGTGTGTGTGCGAACACACAGCATGTACGGACTGTGTGTGTGTGTGAACACACACACAGCATGTATGGACTGTGTGTGTGAACACACAGCATGTACGGACTGCGTGTGTGTACACGCACAGCATGTACGGACTGTGTGTGTGTAGTAGAAAGCGGGAGTGCAGCAGTTGATGCGCTTCGCTACGAACCCGGCGACCCGGGTTCGATTCCCGCTCATGGTCACCAACACCAGTGGCGGTTATGTGGACCGGTTCTGGGCTTCCTCTAGGTCGACTCAGCCTAAAATTAGTACCTGGTGTGGTGTGTAAACATCGCCACTGGGGAGACAAAGGTGGTCGGACGTGGTTCTGGCCACCCACCCTCTCATGTACCGTACTGGCCTTAATAGGTGCTCGCTAACAGCACTTGCCGCAACAGTCTGTTACAAGCTATGCGGGACGTCTTTGTGTGCGTATCAGTAGTAGGGATGTTGAGATTTCATAACCCTTGTGATCGCATTAACTGTCGCGATTCAATCACATCTTACTGATTCCATGTCGTGGATGTAAGCGGCTTCTAGTGGCTGGAGTGTGGTGGGGAGTGGGGGGGGGGCATCTCAGTCACGTGAAACCCCGTTGCATCGGATGCACAGGGCGTTGAAGAGCACGTGGCCGCAACGTGCACAGCGATCGCTCAATCATCTGAGCCCCCCTCCCCCCATGGCCCAAGCAGCACCCTCCTGTCTCAAGAACTGGAAAGGAGTTCTTGGGAACTCGACAGAGGCTCCAATACAAAATAAAGACCACCACCAGTTACACCCTGGGACTTTGCAGTGTTTCGTGCGCTCATCTCAGCCGGATGATGAAGCGTCCATCTCGCTTGGTTTCAACCTAACCCCCCCGCCCCCACCCCCCCTGCTTACAGGGGGGGGGGGTTAAGGGGTACAGGAAAACGACGAGATAAGATTGCTACTATCGCCCATTGGCTACGCCACGGGGGAAGGGGGAGTAGAGAGGCAAGGATGCGATGCACGGGAAAAGGACACGGGGCGGCGGAGGGAAGGGAGAATTGGTAAATGTGAGAGGATGGGAGATGAACGGAGAAGCGGGAGCACAGAGCGAGGAAGGACGAGGAGAGAGAAGAGGATGAAGCTGCTGCGTCAGGGCCTCGAGGAGCGGTGTCTGTTTTCACAGTAGACGGGGAGAGGGGAGGGGCTCACAGTGGGGTTTGGCCACTCTGAAAGTCACGTGATTCTGTTTGTTTTGTTACAGGATTGCGCTGATTTAGAGATATCGATGGATGTGGCCGAGGGCTCTCTAGTGGTAGTGCCTTATGCCAATGATGTTGACCCCAAGCCAGCCGAGCAGCGTTCCGGAAACTATCGTACGTCAGAAAATTCAGCCAGGGCGGCTGTACCGTCAAGACTAAAAAGATTCCCTTTCGTCGACGGCGTTTAACGATTGGTGATTGTCGTCTGCTCACGGTCGCCTCTGACGAAAGTAAAAAAAAAGTCAACGCACTTTGTTCACGGGTATTTCTATCGTCACTAATTTCAGAAGGGAAATTACCACCACCTTGACCCTCACCCACCCCGCTCCCACCCCTCACCCTCCCCGGTGTGAGAACGCAGATTTAAATGTGCGGCTGGATCTGAGTGCTGAACTCCTGGCCGCGCAGTACCGCGTCCAGCAGGTCTCCGTGAAGATCTTCTCCTCCCGCACGGAATGGTGAGCTCTCCACATCGGCCCCTACCACCACCTCCGCCATCTTATTCTGCTTCAGCTGCTGCGGTAGCTCTTCCTCCTCCTCCTCCTCGGTCTCCTCCTCCTCCTTCTCCATCACCACGTACGCCACCTCCATCACCTCCTCCTCCTCCCCAGCATCAACGTTGCTGACAGCATCACCATCATCATCGTCGTCGTCGTCACGGGTCGAGCGCACAACCGGAACCTCCCCAACCTTCCGCGTCTTCTCCACCTCCTTCACCTCTTCATTGACCCCCTCCAGACCCTCGCCCGAGTCCGGCGTCTCCAGCTCGGCGGCGTCGCTCGTCTCATCGCTGGTCGGCGTCGCGCCGTCCTTGACGTTGATCGCCGGCTCCAGGAGGTGGGCCCTGATCAACGTCACCGGGGTCTGCGCCATCACGGGCGACGCTTTGCTCAAAGCCGCGCTCGCGACGGCGGCGGCAGCGGCGCCGGCGGTGGCGAAGGGGGGCACCACCTGCGCATCTTCCTCATCATCCTCCTCTGTGCGGTGCACGTTGTAAACTTTCTCCAAGTGTCGTTCCTTCTCATCATCAACCTCCTCCTCCTTCTCCTCCACCACCTCCTCCTCCTTAAATTCCTCCTCTTCGACCACCACCTCCTCCTCCTCCTTCCCCTCGTCACCTCCTTGATCCTCCTCCCCCTCCTCACGGACGGCCGACCTCTCCGCGGCGAATTGATCGGCGGCCTCAACGGCGCCCGCCGGGATCAACGCCGCCACGGCCGCCTCCACCTGCTGGATGCACGCGGCCGCGTCCTTCGTGACCTTCGCGACCTTCGTGACCTCCGCACCTTGACCCAGGGCGGCGGGGCCGTCCTTGTCGCCGCTCAGCACGGCCCGGGCGAGCTCCTGGGTGCCGGCGACGATCGCGTCCGAGCCGCCGGCCTCGGGCCGTACTTCCCCGCCTCCGTCGGCGCTGCCCTGGCCCTTGCCCTGGCCGAGCGAGGGCTCGGAGCATCGGCCCTCGTCGCCGACCGTGCCGGCTCCCTCCTCCGGCGCGTCCGTGCCGTTGGGGGTGGCGCCCTCCTTCTTGACCGCCGTCGCCTGCTTGTTGCCCATCGCTGCACGGGGGTGGGGGGGGGGGGGTCAGAGCGCGGTGGGGAGCGGCCCGGAGAGTGAGCTGTGCGCGCATACGCGTGCGCGCACACACGTGGGGGCATGCATGGACATCCGCGTGAACACACGCACCAACACACTCACCAACACACGCACCAACACACTCACCAACACACGCACCAACACACTCACCAACACACGCACCAACACACTCACCAAAACACGCACCAACACACTCACCAACAACAACAACAACCGCCATTCGCCACTAAGTGGCGGTGACGTCACCACGACGCTTGTGCCAGGCTATGTGCACCGTGAGGCCATGTGAAGTGTCGAACGCCCGCTGGCAAGAGGTCACTGGGCAGACCCAGGTGCCACGGGTCGACTGACTGAGATGACTGGCTGATGCACCACCTGTGCCCCCTACTGTGCCAACCTGCTGTGCTTTAGCCACCCGGCGCTCCGCTCGTTGTTCTGAGCGTCGCTCCTCCGCCCTCCGTTGTTGTTGGAGGGCGACTGCCTCCAACTGCCCAGTAGCATCCTTCACGAGCCTCCTCCACAGAGGCCGATCTTGACACCGCTGGTACCAGTCATCGGCAAGTCCACTCAGCTCCACGTCCTCCTGTACCACGTCACTCCATCTCTTCTCTAGCCCGTGCCGCGCCCACCTAGCCCCCTCAATCCGGCCAAACAAAAGCTGTTTCGGCATGCGGTGGCTGGGCATGCGGGCTACATGACCCAGCCATCGCAGCCTTGCCTGCCGGAGGAGCTCACCGATGGGACCGTGTCCAGATCTTTCAAGGATTTGTGAGCTCCTCACACAATCCAGTCTGGTTTAACCCAGGATGGATCGTAGGCAGGCCAGCCTAAATGTTTCTAACCGGCGAAGATGTTCCATTAGGGGGGTCCACGTTTCGCAAGCGTAGAGAAGGGAGGGAATGACCATGGCCGAGAAGACTTGAAGATTAGTGCGGAGCGACAGACCAGGTAGCTTCCACACAGCATTACGCAACTGATGAAAATATATTGCCGCTCGACTGATTCGGAGTGAAACCTCTGCTGATAAACTGGAGCAGGTCAAAAGCACACTGCCCAGGTATGGGAAACTCTCCACTCTCTCCACAACTGCCCCATCACCGATTGGGAGTTGTGGGGGTGGAGTGTCCGATGGTACAAAATACCCAGGCAGGTGCTTAGTTTTGGTGGGGCTGATGGTAAGGCCCCATCTCTTAGAAGCACGCTCCAGTCTCAACAGCAGCATCTCCAACTCCTCCTCTGAATGAGCAGCTATTAACAAATCATCGGCATACATAACGTGGTTGAGCAATAGGGAGCCATCCCTTGACCGCACCCGGGCATTGATCAGCCTCCCATTTTATCTGTACCATATGGAGATTCCCCCGGTACAGCCATTGAAGGCTTCACGAACTACGTGGTCAAAATAGATGTTAAATAATGTGGGAGCCAGAGGACATCCCTGTCGCACCCCAAGGTGTACAGGGAATGGCTCTGACTCCCGGTCACGTAGTTTTACCCGGGCGCGCTCACCATCATGAAGGTCCTTAATGATCGTGAGCAGAGGGTCAGGTACTCCAAAAGCACGAAGAACGACCCAGAGCCCAGGCCTACGGATGGTATCATAGGCCTTGACCAGGTCAATAAAGCAGAGATGTAGGTCTTGCTGGAATTCACTACACCTCCGCTGTAGCAGACGGACAGAAAATATGGCATCCATGCAGGACCGCCCTTTCCTGAAACCGCATTGGGGCTCCGCAAGCCTCTCCTCAGCGTGCCTGGCAAGGCGATGTTGAATAATCCTTGCCAGGACCTTTCCCGGCACACTGAGGAGTGAGATGCCCCTGTATTTGTTACAGTCTGTGTGGTCCCCCTTCTTAAAGAGGTGGACCACCAGGGCATCCTTCCAATCCTGCGGAACCTGTCCAGTGGTCCAGACTGTTGTTATGATGTCATATAGGGCAGTCTGTGCACAAACGCCACCCTCCCTCAGCATTTCGCTTGGGAGATCCTCTCTGCCCGCTGCCTTTCCTGGTCTCAGACTCCGGATCGCCTTCAGTACTTCCTCAACAGATGGTACCTCAGCCAGCCACTCACAGTGGGTGACTTCTTCCAATATTTGAGGCACCGCAGCCTCAGCAGGGTCATCCTCACTTTGTGCCACGATGTTTTCCTGGCTGAGGGATTTTCCCTCCCCCAGGACCTCACAGAAATGCTCAGCAAATCTGCAAACCTGTTCCTGGTCGTCGGAGATTGGATCACCTTTTTTTCCCCTAATGATGGTAATAGGTGTGGCGCTGCAGATTACTTTTTTGATGGAGTTAAATAGAGATTTGTGATCACAGGCCACTGAGGCAGACTCCATCTCCTCAGCAACCCGCGACCACCACCCATCCTTGCAGCGCCTCACGGCTCTCCGAACCTCCGAGCGAAGGCTGCGGTAAGCCTCCTCATTCTCTGACGTGGGATTCTGTAGCCGATGACAGTGGGCCTGTCGCTTTTTCTCAACCATCCTGAGCACCTCCTCTGTCAGCCAGGGTCTCTGGGGAGGTCTGGACTGCGTACCCAAAGCAGCCATTGCAGCTGCATGAGTCACAGTCCTAAACCTCGCCCATTTACCCTCGACATCAGGAGGAGTCGGGGACGATGCCAATCCCAGCCGCAAGCGATGATGAAATTCTCGCTTGCAATTTTCATCAGATAACTGAGACAAGGCCACTTTAGGTTGGAATGGGGTCCTGGGTGTACACCCACCACCGGAGTGGAAGAATGGCAGGCACATCTTACAGATGACTAGTCGATGGTCAGAGGGCAGATCAGCTCCACGGTAGGTCCTGGTGTCAAGGACATGGGCTCGCATCCGCTGGTCCGTCACTATGTAGTCCAGTAGATGTTCTTGCTTGGACCCGGCATGCATCCATGATGTTGTGTGGATGCGCCGATGCCGGAACAGTGTGTTGGTAATTACAAGCCCATGGGCTACACAAAAATCTAGCAGCCTCCTACCGTTGTTATTGAGCTGATCTGGCCCATGCCCTCCAATCACTCCAGACCAGGAGCCAGCATCATGACAAACTCGGGCATTGAAGTCACCCAACAAGATGACTCTATCCCGAGGGGCCACTTTAGCCAGCACCTGTGACAGGAGGTTATAGAAGGCATCTGACTCATCGGCTTTGCCTGCATCCCTCCACGGATGTTGGTCTTCGGTGGGGGCATTAGTTACTACGACCACCACTCCTCGCCTCCGGTTGAGGGGAAGGCGAACCCAAAGTAGCCTGGGGCTTACAGCTTCCCACACCTCACCGCCACGCTCCCACGCCCCCTTCATTCTTTTGTTCAAAAGAAGAGCCACACCCTGTTGTTTGGCAGTCTGCTGCCCCGAGTAGAGGACTGTCCACCCCTCATGGTGGCAGGAGCCAGAACCGGTCCACCGGACCTCCTGAATGGCACAGAGATCCAGGCGGTACCGGTCCAGCTCCCAACAGAGGAGTGGCAGCCTCTCCTCCGCAGTGAGCGTTCGAACATTCCACGTGGCCATCCGTAATGGCTTTTCGTTGTTTCTGGAGGAGCCCCGAGGGTAGAGATTCAATCTCCTGGCTCCGCCAATTGGGGTTTGGCCAGGAGACGTCATAGACGCCTGTTCCCCCGGGGCCTCCGGCACAAGCTTATTAGTTAAATTTTGTATTTGTAGTTTAGTGGTAATTAATTGGAGGTGGTGGGGCTACCAGCCCCTCGCACCCGTCCAGAGCCCCCGTTTAGCCACTGTGGTGGACACAGACGCCATGAGGGGAGGAGCCAATCGGAATTGGACCTCCCCCCACAGCACTGTCCAGGACAGAGTTGCCCATCCGGTACACACTTACACACACCCGCACACACACCCACACACACCGCACACACACACTCACACCCGCACACACACCCGCACACACACACCCACACACACCGCACACACGCACACACACACCCACACATCCACACACACATGCACACAACCGCACACACCCACACACACCCACACACACCCGCACACAAACACCCACACACACCCGCACACACACCCAAACACACCCGCACATACACACGCACACACCCACACACAACCGCACACACACACTGACACACCCTCGCACACACCCGCACATACACACGCACACACACCCACACACAACCCCACACACACACAGACACATCCTCGCACACACCCACACACACCCGCACACACACACCCACACACACTTACACACACCCGCACACACACCCACACACACCCAAACACACCCGCACACACACACCCACACACACAGACACATCCTCGCACACACCCACACACACCCGCACAAACACACCCACACACACTTACACACACCCGCACACACACCCACACCCACACACACCGCACACACACACTCACACCCGCACACACCCGCACACACACACCCACAAACACCGCACACACGCACACACACACACACATCCACACACACATGCACACAACCGCACACACCCACACACAACCGCACAGATACACCCTCGCACACCCGCACACACACCCGCACACACACCCACACACACACCCACACACCCGCACACACACACACGCGGTAATAACCCACTGACTTGCAGCAATTTCCTTCCGTTGAGTAGTGACCACAAAAATTACTGCTTCGAAAATGTCCTCCACTCTCCTCCAACATCGCAGTGCCTGGTGATGATGGTGATGATGGTGGTGATGAAGGTGGTGATGATGGTGATGATGATGGTGTGCATTGCGCACACCATGGATCCCATCCCTGTATGGTCCACCAACCGCAGACACTGACACTAAGATTGTAAGTGCGGTTAACTATGATACCAAATCACTGCCGTCACCACCACCTCTATGATCACTGCCATCACCACTTACGTCACCACCACAATCATCATTATCATGACTACCAAATGCATCATCACCACTACACCACCACTATCACTCGCAAAACAA